TCTAGTGTGATTTTTGGCACCAGGGCAGAAATACCCAGTTCAAAGGGTTCAGCCCATATTGCATAAAGTACTGTCTCTCAAAAGCAGGGGGAAAAAGACATGAACAAATAGACCTTGAGGCATTGGCTGTGTATTACTTAGCAGAACATATGAAATCAAGCCGACCTCTTAGCACAAGCAAAGACAGGAGGGAAAATCCCAGACGCACCAGCCATTTCACATGGGAGAGAATGAGTAAGATCCTACACTTCTGCCTATAACTAACTGCCAGCAAAACCTAGAGTTTACTTCAGCTAGGGCTGGATGGATATGCCAGTTTCTGTCCTCTCAGTTTCTTATTTTTCCAGTCTTATATTCAGTTCCTCACATTTCTGCAGAAAACTGCAGGTTTTTTTTAAAAAAGAACCATGAAAATTCATCAGCATTTTAGTGCCAATTTCTCCTAATAAATATGTCTGTCTGTCTGTCTGTCTTCTTCTTCTTCTTTGACAAACACTCGTGGCCAAGTAAGATTGTCTTCCATAAACACGGTTTTTAAAGTGAGTCCATAAGAAACTGTGGAGGCCAATTCTGGGATCCACACATCCTTCCACAGTGGGGACATTGGTTTCTGGGGGGGAATTGATCATGGTGCGGATTTGCCAAGCGTGCCTTCCTCTTAGCACATTTCTCCCTTGCGTCCTGAGTTTGAGTGTCTTCAAAGCCCATGACACCTTTGAAGTCGGAGCTAAACAGTACAAATTGAGAGCATTTGCAGATGACTTAGTATTGACATTACAGGAGCCAGAATCTAGTACCAAAAGAGTTTTGGAACTGATTCAAGAATTTGGTCAGGTTGCAGGATTTAAACTAAATAAATTAAAAACAAAGGTCTTAGAGAAAAATTTAACAGAGATTGAGAGAGAGAAGATTCAGAATGAGACAGGTTTAACAGTGGTTAAGAAAGTGAAATACCTGGGGATTAACATGACAGCTAAAAATGGGAATCTATTTAAAGAAAATTTTGAAAAATGCTGGACTGAAGTGAAAAAAGATTTAGAAATCTGGTCAAATTTGAAGCTTTCACTGCTAGGCCGTATTGCTGCGATAAAAATGAATGTATTGCCTAGAATGTTGTTTCTGTTTCAAACATTGCAAATTTTGGATAAAATGGATTGCTTCAAGAAGTGGCAGAGAGACATTTCTAGATTTGTCTGGCAGGGCAAGAAGCCTAGAATAAAATTTAAAATACTAACGGATGCAAAGGAAAGAGGTGGATTTGCCCTGCCAGACCTTAGACTTTATTATGAATCAGCAGCTTTTTGCTGGCTGAAATAATGGCTGCTTCTTGAAAACACAGACATTTTGGATTTAGAAGGCTTGAATAATGTATTTGGATGGGATGCATATTTATGGTATGATAAGGTCAAAGCACATAAAGCATTTAAAAATAATATTGTCAGGAAAGCATTGTTTAATGTCTGGATAAGATATAAGGACCTACTTGAAAATAAAACCCCAAGGTGGTTGTCACCGATGGAAGCGAAGGCTCAGAAAAAGCTCAATATGGAGGCCAAATGGCCGAAATATTGGGAGATTTTGGAACAATTGCAGAGTTTTGAAAAATTAAAAAATAAAGTGCGAGATTGGCTTCATTATTATCAGATAATGGAGGCATATAATTTGGACAAGAAAATTGGCTTCCAGGTGGAAAAATCAAAATTAGAAACGGAACTGTTAGAACCCAAAACCAAGATTTTGTCAAAGATGTATAACTTGCTGTTGAAATGGAATACTCAGGATGAAACGGTGAAATCTGCTATGATTAAATGGGCACAAGATGTTGGACATAACATAATGATGGCTGACTGGGAACAGTTATGGACCACAGGTATGAAGTTTACGGCATGTAATGCCTTAAGAGAGAATATTATGAAAATGATATACAGGTGGTACATGACGCCAGTCAAGCTTGCAAAAATCTATCATTTGCCCGATAATAAATGTTGGAAATGTAAAGAAACTGAAGGTACATTCTTTCACCTTTGGTGGACGTGCCCAAGGATTAAGGCTTTCTGGGAGATGATCTATAATGAAATGAAAAAGGTATTTAAATATACCTTTCTGAAGAAACCAGAGGCCTTTCTCCTGGGCATAGTTGGCCAATTGGTGCCAAAGAAGGATAGAACTTTCTTTATGTATGCTACAACAGCAGCAAGAATACTTATTGCAAAGTACTGGAAGACACAAGATTTACCCACCCTGGAAGAATGGCAGATGAAGGTGATGGACTACATGGAACTGGCGGAAATGACTGGCAGAATCTGAGACCAGGGAGAAGAGTCGGTGGAAGAAGATTGGAAGAAATTTAAAGACTATTTACAGAAATACTGCAAAATTAATGAATGTTAGAATGATGTCGGAATGAAGTTAAGTGGTTTTAGCAGCAATGTTACAAAGGAGTATGTAAAAATGGATTGTTAACAGGTGAGAATTTAAAGTTATAATATATTAAGTTAAAGGATGAAGATAAAAACAAAGAGGGAAAGGATTTGCTGAATTAACTAACTGAACTGGAATACAAAAAAGGGAGGTGTGAGGAGGTCAGGGAAACAAGTAAACGAAAGATAAGACATGGAAAGATTGATTTGTTTTTAAGTGTTTTTATTTTTCTGTATTTTGTATTTTTTCTTTTTTTCTTTTTTCTTTTTCTTATTTTTGTAATCTTTTCTGAAACTTTAATAAATATCATTTAAAAAAAAAAAAAAAGCCCATGACACCTTTGGTTGTCATATTGTTTCAGAAAGTGTGAATTAGACAGGTTTGCCTTTAAATGTGGACTGAATCAAATTTCTCCCCCAACCCTAACTACATTCTATCTAGTTGGTCTCTAGCTGTTTTTGGCCTACAATTCCAATTGGTCCTGCAAGCTAGGGAAGGGCTTCCAATGACAAGCACAGGGACTGCAGAAACACACCCATTTTTTGATGCTTCTTGGATCATCCAAATGTGATTTGGAGTCTCTTCTTCTTGCATGACATGATTCCCTTTAGTAAATAGTCAGGATTCTGCATTTTGTCCTCTTTTGTTCAAGGTATTATAATCAGAATGTTGTAGAAAATACGCAAATGTGTGCTGACAAGTGATTGTCAGCTGTGTCTGTCAGTCTTGGGCTCCTCAGACTGCACAAGAAGCAAACTGCGTATGTGTGCAAACACTGTATGTCATTATCTGCACATCCCACTTCTGCCAAAAAAACTACTGCAGTTCATGAAATTTGTCAGTTGCATGAAAATAAAAAGACTTGTAAGATTTGGACTTCAGTAGTGCAAATATTGAACTTCAGTAACACAAATACACACCCTTGTTTGCACTCAAATCCAACACCAGTAGACTTTATTCATTATTTTAACCACTCCCAATTTTGTTTTTGTGTGTTGTTTTTGGCAATCTCACCAACGTCTGCAGACTCCAGAAATATCTGTACAGAGGAATATCTTTGGAGAGATATTTTCAGAACAGGAGCTCAATTTGTTATGGCTGTGTAATTTTTTTGCATATCTGTATACAGTACTCCAAACTTTCAAACAATACTGAAAACGAGTGAGTCAGAGCATTAACATATTATCAGCCAAACCCAGAGTGGAGGCAGCTGCTGGTGATATGACACAAACATTCAGACAAGTACATAACTCATGCTAATCAAGAAACATTTCTGCTGAAAAGATGACTAAAGATAGGCATAAACCATTCTTGATGATGGGTCCCAGGGACTCTCATCTCTTTCTAACATTTGGACAGAAGCTAGCTGGAGGCCTTACCACTTAGTCCTTCAGAGAGCATGGAAACTAATTTACTTTTCAGAACAGCTTCTGGCAGTTGACCTTTGAATGAGTTTTTTCTGCATTTTCTTATGTATGGTTGGGTGTTTGCTTCTTTTAACCATCTGTATCTTAGTGTGATTTGTGGGTTTAATATTTGTTGCATGCTGCCTTGGGTCTTGGAGAGTGGTCACAATATTTTAAAGAAAATAAATAAAAAATGAATGGGAAGCCCAATTTTATTATATGCTGTAGAATAATAATAATAATAATAATAATAATAATAATAATAATAATATTTATACCCCGCCCATCTGGCTGGGTTTCCCCAACCACTCTGGGCAGCTCCCAACAGAATATTAAAAACATGATAAAACATCAGTCATTAAAAACTTCCCTAAACAGGGCTGCCTTCAGATGTCTTCCAAAAGTCAGATAGTTGTTTATTTCCTTGACATCTGATGGGAGGGCATTCCACAGGGCAGGCACTACTACTGAGAAGGCCCTCTGCTTGGTTCTCTGTAACCTCACATCTCGCAATGAGGGAACCGCCAGAAGGCCCTCAGAGCTGGACCTCAGTGTCTGGGCTGAATGATGGGGGTGGAGACGCTCCTTCAGGTATACTGGGCCGAGGCTGTTTAGGGCTTTAAAGGTCAGCACCAACACTTTGAATTGTGCTTGGAAACTTACTGGGAGCCAATGTAGGTATTTCAGGACCAGTGTTATATGGTCTCGGCGGTCACTCCCAGTCACCAGTATAGCTGCTGCATTCTCCAGTCTAGCTGTCCAGTCTAGTATTCTTCTAGTCAATTACAACAAAAAGACCAAAGGGAAATCCACCCAGTGCTGCCAGTGTGAGGATATCTTCCGTCAAGGTCACTTACGCACAGGGTGCTCCTAGCACGACCCAGTTATTGCTCTTCCATTGTAAGCTGCAAGCAGAAGGGCAAGTACCTTTGCATACCATCAGGACTACTGCACTTTTTCTATGTGTCTCTCCCACTGTGTCCTGTCCAGACCAGTTGGCCTGACATTGCAGCTGTGGGTGAGGCCATTTGCAGCTCAGCACACACAGTCACCATAACCCTTGTGGTGGGTGCCATCTTCATTTTTGCATTTTAAGGCAATTTTAAAATTATCACTAAAGCAGTGTTCCAGCTTTTATTTGGAACAAAATAGAAGTATAGTGCTATAACATCACACTGCTATTATGCTGTAACGCTATACTGTACTGTGTTGTAGCTGTCATGAACTGGCAGGACAATGGGGAGGAGGAAGAGGATCCCGGTGAGGGATTGCTGGGACGGGGATACACCGGGGCAAGCAGGGGATGGGGAAAGAAGTATTCACAGGGTGGCAGAGGATGGTGAGGGGATGGGGGTCAATGCACAGCAACCAGAGCAGCAGGACCCATCACCAAAGCCAGAGGGGCTCCTGTCTCCACAAACACAGTGGGCTCTGAGGGAGCAGCAGGAGGGGCGCTCTAGGAGGCTGAGGCAGGCAGGGGCCCACAGCCCAGCTCCCTAGCTGGCCAGGTGAGGCTCACTAGCTCTGGGAAAAAGTGTGATTCCTCATCAAGCACAGGTGCTGCAGTCAGCATGCAAAGTACAAAAGGGAAGCAGAGCTGAGGTGCTGTGTCTGCTCAACTGCCCATGTTCATGGATCTTGACTTGGATGCTCCTGGACCTGTGCTTTGGGTTTGCCTCTGAACTGTATCCTGACTGGTGGACTTCAGACTTGGCTACTTGGATTGACCCTGAATTGTGTTTCCTCACCTTTGGATGTGGGACTTTGTTTGTGTGGGCTGACCCTCATGACTTTGAACTTGGCATACTGACTTGCTGCCAGGTAGGCCAAGGGTTTAGGACAATAGCTGTCTTTCAGCATGGTCATAAAATGGCACCTATTGCTAATATTATCCTGAAAGTGTGGTGAGTTGTGATAGGTTCACTTTACAGTTTTTGGGTCAGGGATCCATTCCAGAGTCCTGGACGTTTGATGAAAAGGACGCTCAACAAACCACCGCTCTGTGCACACACGTGGAGCGGTTTGCACTTCTGCGCATGCGTGAGCAGCAAACCCAGAAGTAACCCGTTCCAGTACTTCCTGGTTTGCCGTGGATGTCCGCCGAAATGGATGCTGGACAGGGCGGACTTATACAGAGGTACCACTGTATTGATGTATCACTGACCATGTGTAGCACTGAAGCAGTGTTTCTCAAACAGTGGACTGGGATCCAGTGGTGGTCCACTTTCAGATGGGCCTCATTGCCTCTTCAATTGTCATCTCTCCCCTTAACCCACAACATTTTGGTTGGATCAGTGTGAGCACCAGCAACTGCTTGCACGCTGAGAAAGGTGGCTGGGGGAAGGAGGGAAGGAAGGTCTCCTTCCTGTGTGGGGAAAGGGCCGCAGAGGAAGAAAATTAGAAAGTGAGATAAAAGGTTGTGATGCTGGTGGTGCTCTCCTCGTGCTGTCAGAGGCCTCCAAATACAAGTCACAAGTGTGGAGAGTGCTGTTCCTTTCAGGTCCTGCTTACGGGCTTCCCATAGGTGTCTGGTTGGCCACTGTGAGAATAAAAGGTGGGACTAGATGAGTCTTTGGCCTGATCTAACCTGTTATTTATGAAGTATAGAAACTCCAGACGAAACACCTTCTATGGAAGCACTCCAAGTGGAGCATACGTTAAATTCATCAAAGGCATAATATGAATATCAGGCCGTCGCACAGAGATGTTTCATGCTGCCTAATTTGCTTCCAAGAAATGTGCAGTTCCTCTTGTGTTACGAGAAATCCCAGGTCTTTTTGCATAAATCACTTCCAGTCCACGATGTTGAAATGTTTATGCTATTAGACTAGGGGGACCCCTTCCCAGAGCAAAAGAAAGGCCAGAGCTGACTTGGCTCAGCTTGAGCAATCACAGCTCTAAACAGTGTATAAATACAATCTATTGTTGAGGCTAAAATGCCTCCAGGAAACAATACCGTTGCTCCCCTGTGGACATGGTTCAGCCGTTGCGCTTAACTTACTTAAAACCCTTGACAGGGATCCAAAGATTCTGGACCAATTTTGTCTTTAAATAGCTAGGAAGGAAAGGGACTGGACCTGTGATCCAAAGCAGTTAGTGCTGCCAGCAAAACCACCAATTGTGCAGCCAAATCTGCCTTAATGTGGCAGTTTTCTCTGCTGCAGCTCAAATTCTTGAGGCCAGCCCCTTCTGTATACACACCATACATTTAAAGCACCCTCCCAAGAATCCTTAACAAAGTACACCTCACTGGATTATTTGGGGAGGGGATGTGCTTTAAACATATGCTGTGTGAGAATGCTACAGAGAAAAAGCCCAGCTCTAGCAAATACAGTGGTACCTCGGGTTACAGACACTTCAGGTTACAGACTCCGCTAACCCAGAAGTAGTACCTCGGGTTAAGAACTTTGCTTCAGGATGAGAACAGAAATCGTGTGGCAGTGGCGTGGCAGCAGTGGGAGGCCCCATTAGCTAAAGCGGTACTTCAGGTTAAGAACAGTTTCAGGTTAAGAACGGACCTCCGGAACGAAGTAAGTTCTTAACTCGAGGTACCACTGTATACTGTATTTTTACTTTGGCTCATGGCCCTCCCGCTGTAATGACAAGAAAAATGAAATGAAGTTCATGGGTTATATGTGGCTAGCTGCCATTGAACTCAGTTGGAATTACTTCTGAGTAAACAGCTTTAGGACTGTGCTTCAATCCCAAAATTTCAAATTATCCTCTCCCAAGAACAATCCTCCTTAAAAATGAAGGGTTTTGGGGGGCGGGAAAGGAAGTTGAGAGGGAAAGTCAAAACCACAATAACTTCACAAATATGCTTACAGGGTGTGTGAGACCTGGCAGTGAGTGAGAAAGAGGGATCTTGGGATTGTAGTAGCTCTTAAAGGGAGGGTGTAGACAAATTCCTGGAGGATAAAGCGACTAGCCATTGTGGCCACATATTGGAAGCAGCAAATATCCATATACCCGTTGCTGGGAATTGCAAGGTGGGAGACTGCTTGTGTCCTGTGTCCAGGCTTCCTATAGGCACCTGGTAGGCTACTGTGAAGACAGGATGCTAGGCCACATGGGCAAAGCTCGTCTCATGATCTGAACACCCAGGTATTCAAATAAGCTGCTTAAATGTTGCCACCACCCAAACATTTTCCTTTGGCTTAGCAAGACCTCACAGTGCCAGTTCTGATCCTAAAGGTCCTGTTCCTTCCTTCTCCAAATGTATGGGGACATTTACAACAGGATTTAGAGTCCCACAGTTGGCAGGGACCCCATCTACTATCTTTAAATGGCATCCAGGAAACATGGGCTATAGATGTTGACTTTGGCTGGCTTCTCACCACAACCTTAGTAGTGGTGTGATAAAAGTAATCTGACACGTGAATGTCTCTTATATAAAGACAATCACCACTATACTTACAATGCAGGGAACTGATACGGCAGGCGAAGGAGGCAGGTTGAAAGGTATTACAGTCCTTCGGGTGCATGGACAATTCACACAAACAGATTCCTATCCAGACCCCTGTAACCAGAATATAAACCCATTCCAATATAAAATAAGATTTGAGCCTTTATCTGTCAAAACTGCCACCCCTTGTACAGTGGTACCTCGGGTTAAGTCCTTAATTCGTTCTGGAGGACCGTTCTTAACCTGAAACTGTTCTTAACCTGAAGCACCACTTTAGCTAATGGGGCCTGCTGCTGCCGCCGCGCCGCCGGAGCACGATTTCTGTTCTCATCCTGAAGCAAAGTTCTTAACCCGAGGTACTATTTCTGGGTTAGCGGAGTCTGTAACCTGAAGCGTCTGTAACCTTAAGCGTATGTAACCTGAGGTACCACTGTACACCCATTCTGCAATCTTGTCTATTTCTGCTAGCTCAAGATATTGGATCAACCATTCACAGACAGCAGGGAGCTTCATAGCCCTGTACCATTTTTGCTGCTACCATCAAATTCCCTATCAACAATTTCCCCAAATCAGGGATGCCTACATGTATCACATTAAATAAGACCATAAAAGGCTCAAAGGCAGTTCATGATACTGCAAAGGGATCATACCTGACTTAATTATGTTGTTTCCAAATGTTGAAATGATCATGTCTCAGTTTGGCAAGCCTGGCTAATCATCCAATAGCGTTTAGAAATTCGAAGAGCTGCACTTTGCCTGTAAAATGATAAGCGAAAACTTCATTTCCTGGAACAACGGGTAATTGGCAATTTACCGTCATTTCACCTCTGACTTTCTGTTCTAATTACACGACTGGAGACACTAGACTAATAGGCATGATGGATTAAGAGCCACTGGTTACCATTTCTGTCTCATGTCTGACGCCTGTAGGTATAACCTATTATTTGCACTGGGCCCTTTGTTTCCGCCTCGGCATGCTGTTTGCCTGTTTGAAATGGGAGAAGCAAACCAGAGACAGTGTAGATTTTGGGGAGGGGGGTGAGTTTCAAGCCTGTGGATATTTTCTCATATACCGTAATTTCCAGAAAGGAATTGAAAACAAAACTGCCAATATCATTTGTTGTTGTTGTTGTTTAGTCATTTAGTCATGTCCGACTCTTCGTGACCCCATGGACCAGAGCACGCCAGGCCCTCTTGTCTTCCACTGCCTCCCGCAGTTTGGTCAAACTCACGTTTGTATTGTCGAGAACACTGTCCAGCCATCTCGTCCTCTGTCGTCCCCTTCTCCTTGTGCCCTCCATCTTTCCCAGCATCAGGGTCTTTTCTAGGGAGTCTTCTCTTCTCATGAGGTGGCCAAAGTATTGGCGCCTCAGCTTCAGGATCTGTCCTTCCAGTGAGCACTCAGGGCTGATTTCCTTAAGAATGGATAGGTTTGATCTTCTTGCAGTCCATGGGACTCCCAAGAGTCTCCTCCAGCACCATAATTCAAAAGCATCAATTCTTCGGGGATCAGCCTTCTTTATGGTCCAGCTTTCACTTCTATATTACCTATGGCGCATCTGCATTTGGAATACTGTGTTCTGGTCACCTCACTTCAAAATGGATATTGTAGAACTGGAAAAGATTTAGCAAAGGCTGAAGCAAAGGCGTAGGAAGGTCAGGTGGTACACGGTGCGGAAAATTTCTTGTCACCACTGGAGAAACTTCCCTATGAGAAATATTACATTTCTGGCTTTATAATTTGAGGGGAGAGAGATAGCATGTAAGATGGGACACGATAGAGGTCTTTTTCTCCCTCTGTCATAATTCTAGAACCCGGGACCATCCAATGAAGCTGAATGCTTTGAAATTCAGGACAGCGGGTAGTACTTCTTCACACAGCGTACAGTTAAACTATGGAACTCACTGCCACAGGAGGCCGCAATACTCTCTGCTGCTAGACAATATCCATTATGTAGGGATGGTGTGATGGAATAGTTATAATGAAGTGGGACTTGGAGGAGTGTTACACATAAAGGGGTAATACAGTGGTGCCCCGCAAGATGAATGCCTCGCAAGACGGAAAACTCGCTAGACGAAAGGGTTTTCCGTTTTTTGAGCTGCTTCGCAAGACGAATTTCCCTATGGGCTTGCTTCGCAAGACGAAAAACGAAAACGTCTTGCAAGTTTGTTTCCTTTTTCTTAACACCGTTAATACAGTTGCGACTTGACTTCGAGGAGCAACTCATAGAACGTGATGTGGTAGCCTTTTTTGAAGACTTTGGTGATTTTTGAAGCTTTTCCAAAACTTCTTTTAAACTTTTAAAACTTTTTTTGGGGGGTTTTGGATTTTGGGTTGGGGTGTTTGGAATTCAAGGACTTGGTGTTGGGGAGGGGTTTGCAAGAATCTGGAAGCTTGTGTGTTGTTGCTTTTCCTGCATTTTTATGATTTTCTGTGACCATTGGGCCACTCTGCTGTTTTTTTTAAAAAAAATTCTGGATTTGAATTTCTGTGTGGTGGGTGGCTGGGGGAACAGTTGAGGAGGGGTTTGCAAGAATCTGGAAGCTTGTGTGGTTTTTTCTGCATTTTTATGATTTTCTGTGACCATTGGGCCACTCTGCTGTTTTTTAAAAAAAATATGGAATTGAATTTCTGTGTGGTGGGTGGCTGGGGGAACAGTTGAGGAGGGGTTCTTCAGCAAGAAGCAAAGAGTGGAAGAGGAACCTTCTTCGAGTTGTCCCCAGAGTCTTAGAAAATGTACTGTACACTTTGTTGATTTTTAAATGTTTTTCTGTCATGTTTAGAAGCTTAATTTATTGTTCCTTCAATTTTTGAAATGCTCTTTACAGTATGTGTGACTTTAAAGAGCACTTAATAAACTCTTGTTGTACCAAATTTGGCTTTGTTTGGACTTTTTTTGACCATAGGAACGCATTAATTGAATTTCAATGCATTCCTATGGGAGTTCGTGCTTCGCAAGACGAAAAATTCGCTAGACGAAAAAACTCGCGGAACGAATTAATTTCGTCTTGCAAGTCACCACTGTATTTGGTTGAGCACTGCATTTTTTTTTTGGTTGTGTGGAAGCTCTGCTTTCCTTTGGAGAATTCCTGCAGTTACCTAGGATGTCCACTAGATGGTTGGATTGGATAAGAGCAGTTTATGATGGATAAGAGCAGTTTATACAGATCTCTCTTTCTGTTTTACTCCTTCGTGTCTGAAGGATGGATATGAATGCTAAGTGCTCACTGTGATCAGACTAGAACTCTGCAACCAGGACTGGCTAAACAACACAGCGTCCAGTCCTGCTCTCTTTCACATCACACATGCTTTTTTAACTCCTGTGGTGACGTCCCTGATGTGTCATTTGCAGTCTCTACAAACAGAGACCCCACTTCTTCTTTCGACCCTGATAACACAATTAGCTAAGGCACCAACATTTTCAGCTTTGTTAAAACATGAATTTCATTCCACTGCACCTAAATATATTCCTGTGGTGTCTACTCTTCTCTACTCCGGATTTTTTTTATTTGCATGCTGCTCTTTTCCGAGGGCTGTTTAACAACAAAATCAAGGAGGTAAGAATACATAAAATCCATAAAGTAGCACTCTATGCACTGGCAGCTAAGAAGATCAGTAGGAAGGAACTAGATAAAATAGCGGTCCACTGCAAAGGGGATTCGGATATTTAATTTGGCACATCTTACCTGAGAATCTTCTGCTATTCTATTCTATTTAATGCAACAAATAATTTTAGTAGCCGTGACCGTGGTTTTATTGTATGTGTGGTGCCCTATGATTTTTATGGTTATTGTTGTTGTTTTTGTTGTCCTTCTGAATGATGCCATGGCCTATGGCTAGTGCAATAAAAAAGTTTAATTGGAAAACATAAAATCCATAAAATAACAGTCCATTAAGAATGCACAGAAACAAAACACTGAATGCTGATGCATCTTCTTGTCCAGCTACTCGAAGCTTTAAACAAATGAGGCCAGACACATCTCTTTAAAAAAAATTAAAAAATTATTAGATTTTACATTTTAGTATTCAACACATTTATCATATAAACAAAGAAGATAGAAATTAAAACAAAACTCCCCGCATCCCGTGACATCCCTCAACTTCCCTCCTGGTTCTTTGACAATTTGTTACTTCTGCTTAAGGCCAGACACATCTCCACAGGGAGAGATTTCTGCATGCAAGCACCCACCTCTGACTGAAATAGCTCTGTCCCAGGCCCTCACTCAAGGGCCACTAGGAGGAGCTAATCTGATGACGTTAAAGCATAGGCAGGTTGATATGAGACATGAAGTTGCAGATATTTGGGTCCAAGCTGTTTACGGCTTTAAGCATCAGAGCAAGCACTTTGCATCGGTGCTTTTATTTGCAACAACATAGATTGTTTTAGTTTAGGTTTCATATACAGTGGTACCTTGGGTTACAGACGCTTCAGGTTACAGACACTTCAGGTTACAGACTCCGCTAACCCAGAAATAGTACTTCGAGTTAAGAACTTTGCTTCAGGATGAGAACAGAAATCGTGTGGCAGCAGTGGGAGGCCCCATTAGCTAAAGTGGTACCTCAGGTTAAGAACAGTTTCAGGTTAAGAATGGACCTCCAGAACAAATTAAGTTCTTAACCCGAGATACCACTGTATATGGTCATAACAATCTACCTTGGGAGCTTGTGGGCTCTCCTTCTTTGGAGGTTTCTAAATAGAGGTTGGATAGCCATCTGTCACGGATGCTATAATCAGAATGATAATGATAATGATGATGACGATTTATTATTTATATCCCACCCATCTGGCTGGGTTTCCCCAGCCACTCTGGGCGGCTCCCAACAGAATATTAAAAACACGATAAAACATCACAAATTAAAAACTTCCCTAAACAGAGCTGCCTTCAGATGTCTTCTAAAAGTCAGATAGTTGTTTATTTCTTTGACATCTGATAGGGAGGGCATTCCACAGGGCGGGCGCCACTACCAAGAAGGCCCTCTGCCTGGTTCCCTGTAACCTCACCTCTCGCAGTGAGGGAACGGCCAGAAGGCCCTTGGAGCTGAACAGTGGGGGTGGAGACGCTCCTTCAGGTATACTTTAGCTGAGATTCCTGCATTGTTGGCCTAGATGACCCTGGGTGTTTCTTCCCGCTCTACAATTCTGTGATTCTATACATGCATCATTTTATTTGTATACCACCTTTCCCTTGTTCAAACCATGCTCAAGCCGCCTTGCAACGTGAAAAAAATACATCATTACAAACATAACCAAAAGTAGGCATAAACAATAAATAAAACATCAAAAAGGACACAACCAAATTAATTGCAACACAAATCATAATAAGTTTCCAACAAAAAAATAATAATATCAATAGCAGCACACACACCTGAACAAAGCCCCCCAAACAATACCGAGCCCAAGAGTCTGTTCGGCAGCCTCAGTTTTTGTAGCTGGAGTCGGTCAGGGGCCCTGCCCTCCCAGGCCAAGTGGGAAAAGGCCTGCAAGGCAGGGAGCAGGACTTCCAGGACTCACAGAAAAGATGGTCGTAGCTTCAGTCAAGCATGAAACTTTATCTTTGCAGTTGTTGTTCTTTAGCATTCCCTTGTTGATTAGGCAGTTCTCCAGGCACTTCACATAAAGCAGTATTTATTACACACTAGTGATTCCTTTAGAATAGATCTCCACTCCCCACTGCCACCGCCAATATTTTTGAGAATTAAATTCAGCTTTCTGTTCATCCTCCAGCTAAAACCGGGATGAACAGCTGCACTCTCAGCCCTTACCCTCCGCCCCTTTTCAGATTTTGAAAGGGGAATTGATTTCTTGGCAGTCATGAAAGAGCAAGTGTTTTATCACCCTGAGTGACTTTTCCATTGCTTCCTAAATCTTTTATTGCTTAGCACACAGCAGTTGCCTGTATTTCTTGCCAGCATGAATGAGTCTTTTGGTTCAGCCTCAGAACCCTAAAAATCTTTCATTTCACTGGCATGCATTAAAAAGCATGGTTTCTTTCCTCACCATCGTTAATTTGTGCTTTTTAGCCTTAGCCACCATCCAGTAGCCCATGTCTTTAAAATCTCCTCGGCATTCAATTGCTTAATCGCAGGGCGATGGAGGAATCTTAGATTATAGTTTCAAGACAACTTTTAGAAGGTAGAACAAGCATTGCTAATGTGGCATCCCTGGGCGCCTGCAAAGTCCTTCCCTTGTGCTCAGCAGACTCTTCTCCCCTCACTGAAATTAAGCTTTTGTAGCCAAAACAATAGGTTGTAGTATATATGCTTGGTTGTGGTCTCTTCGGTTTTGCAAATGTGCCCTTGGGCCCCCAAAGGCTGGTGACCCATGATGCAGCTGTTCCTTGCTTGTACTGAAAATATTTATGTTGGAGTCTTGTAAAGTATTATTGTTTTTCCTTCCTGAAGGAAAGGAACAACAGCAGTGGTTGATGCTTGTGGCAGATATGGAGTCCATTCCTGAGAGTCTTATTTCAGCATTTAGTTTTAAAACAATAGTTTCTCCATCCGGCAATTGCACACAGGGATGTTCTTGGAGAGCAAGCAGAGCAAATGAAGAAATGTGCTTTCACAATATCCCCATCCTCGGGCCAGCTCTCAGCGGATAGGTCAGCCAGCCAATGTGAAGGCATGTATTTGACCCTTGTGGCTAGTGACTGCTTAGTTACATAAATATGTTGCATCTATCTTTGGAACCGGGAGTTCTGTGAGTTAAGAGCTTCTTTACGCAACACTAATGTGAAAAGTGTGTGGTGTTGGAAGACAATAGCCCTCCAGCTTTTCGTGCTATTCTCAAAGTGGAGGGTTCTCTCTCAGTCCCATTACTGAGGGATTTTCTCTGTCTGTGGTATGTCATTAATTCATTAATTCCAATAGCTTGTCCTGTTCTAGCTTCTGAAGCAAGACGTGTTAGTAAACGGAGCATTAAAGTGTGCTCTATTAAACATCAAAATCTCACAGTAAATCTCATCATGCTCATTATAGCATACTGGTTGCTCAGAATCGTTTGATCAATGTTTGTTCTCTGGATAGGTAGTTAGGGGAAGGATCAGGGGCATTTTGAGCCCACAGGTATCTATTTGCATGCACGTTGTTCACCAGAGTAAGGAACGATCTGAAACTTACGTATCTCTGATGCACTTGCAATATTTTTTTTAAAAAAAGAAAGACATCTCATCTGATCATTGTTGACAAGAAGCGTACAAGAGGTCTACAGGCATAGAAATACTATGGGGTTGGTAAAACTATGAGCTATAGCCCTCTCCCTTCATTCAACTTTGCATTTGTAGACCAACTACACATCTATGATTTGGGGGGTGGGACTCAAAAGTAGTAAACAAGGAAACTCTGACATCAAGGCCACTTGCCCTCAACACATGCACACAAGGCCTTTTCTGGATGATCACTCCACTGTGGTTGGATTAAGGAAAGTGTTGGCAAAGGGCTAAAAGTAAAATTAATGGGGATTTTGTTTTCTGCAAAGTCCTGTTGTTCCATATTTTTTTTTTACAAAATGCTTTAACAGACCTCTCACTTGGGCAGACGTTTCTTATAAAATGCCATGGGAGTTGGAAAATGAACTAACTCATTATTTCTAAAGCAGATGCACTCAGCTTCCCTTTGAAAAAGGCTTTAATGAAATTTTGACAATGGCCACCTTTGGCAGCACTGTCTGTCTAATTAATAACATGCGTAGCCAGGCAGAAACCTCTGAAAAATGCATATCTGGGTTGGGAAACCATCTTTTGCTCAGTTCCTGACAAAACAAAGCTGTGAGGGGACTACAGAATGTTCCAAATCCCCTTTAATGCTGGGCTGCAATAGGGGATTTATAGATATGTGCAAAATTAGGGCTCCTTGTCACTGAGAATTCCCCAAGTTATTAGTATACATTGTTAACTGAGAGGATGTCTTTGAAACATGACTACAAACAATGATTTGCCATGGTTGAATTCTAGCATTTTAATTCGATGCTTTCTTTCTATTCTCCGTTCTTCCTACTCCCTGATTAAAGTCAGCAGAGGCTGGTCTATTAGGGGAACCAGGGCTTAGTTGTACCAAGTGAAATGTAAAGCCATTTTTTAAAAAAAGTGTTCCCCAGAATTTCAGAGCCACACTCTTTTCTCTTCTAAACATCATTTGAACTTGGAGAGGCATTTCTGTCAATTGGCTGCTCTCTAGCTGCTCTCTGCGCCACTCACTCCAAAAGTATTGCGAGGAAGTCCATCCCAAACCGAAAAACCATGTGATTGTATTTTTATTTTTATTAAAAAATAGTGACTGTCTGAAAACGTCCACAGAATGGTAAAAAGATAATGGAAGAGAGTTCCAATTCCTTAGAGAGTTTGACGCTAGGAGGAGGAGGCCAGGGAGTACTGTCGTACCTTGGTTCTTGAATGCCTTGGTACTCACCCGTTTTGGCTCCTGAACGCTGAAAACAAAGAAGTAGGTGTTCCGGTTTTTTAACATTCTTTGGACGTCCAGTGTGGCTTCCGAGGCTTCCGTGCCTTGGTTTTTGAACATTTTCGGAAGTTGAACAGACTTCCAGAATGGATTACATTCGAGAATCAAGGTACAGCTATAAAGCTGACTGAGGAAGCTGCCTCAGGTGGCTGATACGGAGGTGGGGAGAGTGGCCGGAGCAGTGAGTGCCATGTGCACTGCCCTGTAACCACTACACTAGCCCACAAATGCAGTAGAAGACCCTTTCCTTTCACCAGTATTGGAATAAGATTCCATTGCCAGCACAATTGGCTTCTGTATGTACCTTGGGAAAGGACGCCATCTTGTCCTTTGCCTCAAGTGGCAAAATATATTGAGCTGACCTTGGAGGAAAAGGAGAGTTAAATCCTCACAGTCTGTCTTATCATGCATCTAATGAGTAGCAAGCAATAAACCCCTTATTTCTTAGTCTAACTGGAGTATACCCAGGCCTTTGGACTCCCTCCACATGCCGTTTCCACCTCTAACTGGCTGCGTTCCCCGTAGGCAGCTGGCTTTAAGGAGAAAGTGTGCACTCTGAGCCTCAGGAAACCGGACCTGGCAGGGTGAGTTTTATGGCAGTGGGTTGGACCAGTTGACCCTCAGGGAACTCTCCCAACTCTACAGTTTTTTGAGTCTATGGTTCTCTTAGGGAAAGACATGTGTCACATGACTCAGCCCCAAAAGATGCTAGTTCCAATTTTCTTCTGTGGTTTGTTGGAAGGTACGGGATTTACTTCTGAGAAGAACTGCATCGGATTACGCTGAAAAATGCTTGCAGCACTTTAAAGTCTAACAAATTAATTATGGCATAAGCTTTTGTTGTACATAAGCTTTCATGGATTAGAACCCACATCATCTGGTGAAGTGGATTTCGTGTCACAAAAGCTTGTGCCATAATAATTAAGATGTTCCGAGATGCTTTGTTGTTTTTGCTACTCCTCTGGAAAATCTTCAAATGTCTGTTCCTAAAAGACATTCAAGAAAATGCTTATCTGATGTGGTGGACTAATGCAATTGTTTTGGAAAAGAATTAGAAATTGGTTAGTCACTGTGGTGGAGATACATTATTAAATGCTGCTTTTATTTTTTTATTTTTTGTTTTTATTGTATTTGTTTTATGTCATATACTGCCCTGAAATCCAGAACCTGACAATGTTAGGTTCTTTAACATTAACAGCCACCTGTTTAGGGAGTATTAGTACTACTACTAGGAGTAAAAAGGGACGCTGGTGGCGCTGTGGTCTAAACAACTGAGTCCCTTGGGCTTGCTGATCGGAAGGTAGGCAGTTCGAATCCACACGACAAGGTGAGCTCCCGTTGCTTTGTCCCAGCTTCTGCCAACCTAGCAGTTTGAAAGCACACCAGTACAAGTAGATAAATAGGTACCGCTACGGCAGGAAAGTAAATGGCGTTTACATGCTTTCTGGTTTCCGTCATGTTCTTCTGTTGTGCCAGAAGCAGTTTAGTCATGCTGGCCACACGACCCAAAGCTGTCTGAGGACAAATGCCAGCTCCCTCGGCCTGAAAGCGAGATGAGCGCCGCAACTCCATAGTCGCCTTTGACTGGACTTAATCGTCCAGGGGTCATTTACTTTTACTACTTACTACTACTACTACTAAATTTGTATACAGTGGAACCTCTGTTCCCAAACAAAATCCATTCCGGAAGCTCGTTCGGCTTCTGAAACGTTCGAAAACCAAGGTGCGGCTTCCCATTGGTTACAAGAGCTTCTTGCACTCAGTGGAAGCCGTGTCTCATGTTCGGGTTCCGAAAAACATTTGAAAATGGAAGCATTTACTTCTGGGCTTTCGGTGTTTGGGAACTGAAACGTACGAGAACGGAGGCGTTTGGGAACTGAGGTTCCACTGTACTGTCTTTCATCCAAAGAACACAGGGTGGTTCAGAACATAAACGGGGTGGTTCAAAGCTTATTAGGGACAGCCTAATATAGTACAGTTATCTATATTGGTTGACTACCATGGACCACTTCTCTGCTTAAGAGTATAAGCATGGTCAAGGTGGTTGTATAAGCTACACTACAATTATGATTACTCTATCAATCTGCTGTGTCAGCATAATTTCGAAAAATGTAGTAAGTTCTATGATGGCAACATTGTAATAGACTTATAAGGAGGTGGGGAAGCCCTCTTTCTTGGAACTTGGAGTAGATCTGGACAACAGAAGGTGCTGCTAATGCATTGGCTAATGCATGAGTCACATTGCTACTCCAAGTGGTTTCCAGGAACTAAATGAAGGGAATGTCAGCATTGTTGTCTTGTTGTAGTATTATGCTTTATATTTTCTTTGCATGCATTAATAAAGAATGTGTAGCCTTCACCCATACGTGTGTTCATTGTCTTCCAATCCTAAAAGAACCTTTGACTTCTGGCAGCACCCTTTCTAATTGCATGCTATAAATTCCCCTCTCCTCACCCCCCCAACTGCCATCTTATTTTTCCATAACAAGACTTTGTATCCAGTTTGGCTTGGGTCCAACAAAGAGGCGAGCTACTAATGAACATGAATGCATGTAAGCAACATGGTCTCTGGGTCATTCTTCCTGAGCACAACATTTTCAGGTAAAATAATCTGTGTGCTTCCCTTTTTAGGTCTGTTCTCTCAAGACCATCAAGTATTTCTGCACTATGTCTTGGCTATAAACAACTGTGTAAATATTCTTTTTTCCTGAGAATCTCATTCTGTCCTGTGTACTCTGCCTCCTTGTCCAAAGGCTCAGTGACTCAGGCTGCTTCCAAAGCAACAGATTTTATCCTAATTGTGCTTCCTTTTAAATCCTTGGAGAAAAGCTGTTTCCTAAGAATTAGGACTAATGGACCCAAGTGCATCCAATTAATCTTAATTGAATCTAAAGTACTTCACATTGTTTCCACTGGTACTTTCAAGTCTCTGTATAACAATCCTTGGCTCCTCCATATACAAGATTAAACGGCATTTAGATTCCATGGGTTTAATTTGAGAGAGTGACAAAACTGTGATTGAAACAAGGAAGAATTCTCTTCAAATCTCTCTTTCGGAATAAACTCGGAGGGGGCAGTAATAATAATAATTTATACCCCACCCATCTGGCTGGGTTTCCCCAGCCACTCTGGGTGGCTCCCAATAGAATATTAAAAACACGATAAAACATCAAACATTAAAAACTTCCCTAAACAGGGCTTCCTTCAGATGTCTTCTAAAAGTCAGATAGTTTATTTCCTTGACATCTGATGGGAGGGCGTTCTACAGGGCAGGTGCCACTACCGAGAAGGCTCTCTGCCTGGTTCTCTGTAACCTCACATCTCGCAGTGAGGGAACTGCCAGAAGGCCCTCAGAGCTGGACCTCAGTGTCCGGGCAGAACGATGGGAGTGGAGACACTCCTTCAGATATACTGGGCCAAGGCTATACTATTCTTAGTATAGTATTAGAATGGATAGTTCTGATAGTTTTGCTTGCAGGAGATCTGTGAGGTTAAAGGTTACTGTTAAACACATGTATTGGAGCTCTGAGGGAATGTGTGGGTTTTAAAAAGATTTCAAGAAATCAATCAACCTCACACTTGGTGTTTAGTAACAATATGCCCTAAAGAAGATGCATGTGGTTTGTATTCAACGTGCAGACTTAGCTGCCATTATTATTTTCTATCATACTAAAAATCTTAGATGATGACGATGACTACTTAACACAATCATTTAGACCTCTGCTGCAGCCTGACTGAAAGATCCTAAAAACTGTTCCCATATCTCTGAACATTTATGCTGGACTACTTTCATTGTGTTCAAAAGCATATCAAAGTGCAAGTAGATAAATAGGTACCGCTCTGGCAGGAAGGTAAATGGCATTTCCGTGCGCTGCTCTGGTTCGCCAGAAACAGCTTAGTCATGCTGGCCACATGACCCGGAAGCCGGCTCCCTCGGCCAATAAAGCGAGATGAGCCCCAGAGTCGGTCACGACTGGACCTAATGGTCAGGGGTCCCTTTACCTTTTTTACTTTCACCGTGTACATTAGACACAGCTAGCAGGATGATCACGGATGATGCCCTTAATGAGACTAGACTGATGGGAAGTTTTTCTTCCTTTAGACTCAAACCCTCAGACCAATGCCCACTTACAGTATGACAAGAACAGGTAAATTTAAGTTTAGCTCAACCACTAATCTAGGCACTTTGTGATCACAAGTCTCCTCTCTTAAGGCTGGGATTAAAACATAATGTACATGGTACATCATGGTAATGGTGAGCTTCCTGCACTAATTTCAATGTGCTTGTTTAATGTGGTTGATTGATATGACTCATACCAACCACGTAGATGCTGCTTGTTGATGTGCTAGATGTCAAGCAATATAGGCATGGGGAGGGGGGAGGGGGGCTGAACTTGCATTGACAGCAGCCACTTGCTCCTATGGCGGTGCACTCAGAGGAGCCCTTCCTAACATATTCGGACATTTAGCTCCATCCACTATTTCTGCACTTCTGTAGTGCCATGACATGTTCGTGGTAGGCCCACATCTAGCGGTCTTCCTTCTTTAAATACCTCCAAAGAGCTACTGTCAAAACCACTATTGCTTGTTTTGATTGGTAGCTCTTTGCAGCGTAATGGTTAACAGCCACCAGACATGTGAAACTCCCAACAAAAACCGCTTTGGAATGTGTGCAGAGCATGAGAAGATCTGTGGGTCAATAGTAGAGCATCTGCTTTGAATACAGAAGGTCCCAGATTCAATCCCAGGCATCTCCAGCTGGGACTGACAATATTCCCTATCTGCAACCCTGGAGCCAGTGTAGACAATACTGAACTAGGTGAATCAATGGTCTGGTTCATTTTAAGACAGCTTCCTATATTTAATTTATTCACTTCCCACCCAGCTACAAGAAACAGGATGTAAGCAAAGAAAACAATTTCTCTGACTCTGATTTATATCAGGCTGCAATCTGACTCATTTCATTACCTAAGAAAGCCCTCGTGTGTTTGGCTTTCGTCAAGGTCAAACTCAAACCTTGTGAGAAAATTCAGCAAAATGTGCATATGACAGTGACGTGAGCCATGGTTGAGATGAGATTCAATTCACATCCTGTCCCAACCCCCTATAGAAAGAAAATATGTTGTCAACAAGGTATAGGTTATGTGTCTCAAACATCACATAACCAGTGGGATTTTTAAAAGCCTTTGTCCTTAGCACCTCGAGCTACTCTTTTTGCTATTTCTGTACATGAAGAATGTGTGTAGTAAAGACAGATCTTGACTGTAAGCTCCCAATCCTAGTCATCTAACAATTAGAGATGAATTTTCACCTGTTGATGTTCTTTCCTATCTTTGACTGCAAATTGCATTACTCTTTCAATTTTGGTGTTCATGTTTTGCTTTGTTGAAAGTGGTGTATATTTATTTCTAATTGAAATTCTAAAAAAAGAAAAGAAAAAGATGAGCTTTCCTGTGTCCCAGGAGGAAAAATGAGTAATTGCAGAGCATGGGGTAGGGCAGCAATAGCCAAGGTGGTGCCCTCCAGATTTTGTGGACTCTTGGCTCCTATCGTCCCAGACCATTAGCCATGCTTCTGAGGGGTTTCATGTTGGCTACCCCAGAGGCAGGGAATAGGAAGAACATGAAAATGAGCAACACCAATTTTCTATTTGAGACAGCCCATAATAACCATACATAAGATGCAAGGATGCTCAGCCAGATTGCACTATGAGATTGATGTCACTCACGAGTGTTCATATAGGAACAATCAGGAGTCATTGCAGAAATGAGACTAGTATAGAAAGTCCAAAAATAAAAGCAGGCAGTTAATTCAACAATGCCTGATACTGAGATGATAGTTGTGCACAAAACAACCTAAAAGACAGTCTAACCCCTTATATACTTGATTGAACACTGTGCTCTGCAGAAGAGGGTCTCTCTGCATAATAGTAGGAGATTCATTCAACCAAAATAGGAACCAGACCTTCAGTGTGGGGGCAACTGAGTCAGATGGGCAGGGTACAAATAAAACTACTACTACCATTATTATTATTATTATTATTATTATTATTATTATTATTATTATTTCCCTCCCATTGCACATCAGAGAGGCACTATTTCCATTGTCTGTTGGGTTCTACAAAAGATATTATTTTTAAAAATATGGAACTGTTTTTAACTGTTGATGCTTCTACTGCGAAATCATTTTGAGATGTTTCACGATAAGCTGTTCACAAATGCGATAAAATAAAATAACAAACGTTTATTACATGGATTTGCCACAATATCAGTTTCAGGAGGAGTTTACTGCTGATACAATGAATGGAAATGCATCCACTTTTATGTACAATACACAAACAAATTCTACTTAAACCTCTGAAACCATTTTTCACAGGGTGGAGTGTTTCTTTCCATAAAAACAGATTTATAAGTAGACTATCGCCAGCTCTGAACTACGAACGGACAACATCTCCTAACACCTGGCCTGGCAGGATGTTGCAGTGCCACTTGTGGCTGAGCGGAAGGGAGAGGTCTGGCCGATCTTGAGTCTTCCTTCAACACCACATAGCAGCAAGAATAGCTGCTGAACCTTTCCCCGGTGTGCAGACAGTGAAGGCCCAATAGCCCTCTTTGGGCTAGGAGTTGCCAGTTCTGCCGTATGAGGGAACAGATGACTGTCAAGAAAAGACACAGAAGTAGAGGCCAGCAGTAGCAGAGAAGGGAAATGAATCATGCAGGAACTACAACAAATTGTTGCATGCTCATGCCAATTATATGTTCACTGTTGTCAGGCAGAAATAAACATCTAGTAACCTCATTAGTAGATTAATGGACAGTTGCCTGAGGGTGCGTGTGAAACAGGGGGATGGATGGAACAGCCAAACTACTTGTATCGCGTCACAACTGCAAAGATCCCCAGTCTTTACAAGTTTATTCCCTAGTTGCCATTCCTTCAGTACAACTAGGAAAGGCCCTCCCATCCCATTCACAGAACTGCAAGATGCACAGAGTTTCACAAACGCAGCAGCAAAAGAAAGCCTCTTTCGCTCCATTTTTTCATTGCCACATTCTAAACTAAGGTTACCAGATGTCCCCGTTTCCCGGGGACAGTTCCCGGATTTACAAATCAGTCCCCTGACAAAATCCTATCATTCCTATTGAAGTTGAAAAGTGTCCCCGGATTCATTGAAAAAAATCTGGTAACCTTATTCTAAACTGTTCCCTGACAGCAAATTACTTTGTTCAAATCTCATTCTCCCCTCCTCTGTTTTTTTTGTATTATATTTTATTAGGTGCCTTAAAAATTGATGTTTAATGATGAATCATTTTGTAACTGTATACCACAAATGCAATTACTTCACTTATCTACCTACATCTCATTTCTCCCCCCCCCCCCGCCCCAATTCCTTTTCGGCTGCTGCTGTTTGGATTAGAGGGATCTTGGAGGAAAGAAAGAATGACCAACGTTCCAGCTGGGAGCGATCAAAGCTTTCCCCCACATGGTTTTTACCGAATATGTCTATGCCTATGTCTCAATTTGAAGGGGATAGATAAAACAGGTTGTGTTTCCACATCTGGAATCTACATGGAAGGTTTTTTTTGGATTACATTTCATTATTCCTTTCTGACATCTGTTTTTGCCAATTCCTTAGTCCTTTGGAACAGCTTGCCCAGTAAACATGAAGAACCATTTTTCAAATAAAAGGACACACCAAAAATCCAAAACAAGAACCATCTGGAATCCTGAACCAGCCAACTTGATTCCATAACTGGAGATAAAGTCCTGGATGTGGAGCATTAGGGACACAGTTTGTATTGTGCAGCCAGGCTTCTGGGGCACTTCTGGTGACATGTGACGTCCTCGTCACATGATCATAGTCTCTGTGCTGCTGTCATATTCTTGTTGGCATGCCTCCATTGTCTCCTCAGATCTTGGCCTGGTGTCAGAGAAAGCCTGATAAACTGACAGTTTCCCTATAATCCTTTCCCCCCCATGTTTCTCAAAAGCAAAGCCAAACATAGTGACATGGAAGCAAGTTTCACACGGCTCCATTATGTATTGGGTGTGTCCGGACTCTGTAAATGATCACTGCTGTCGCTGGGCACAAGAGCAGGGAGGTCATGACAACGATGGTGACAAGGATGATCAGGACGATGACCCACACTTCCAAGATGTGCTTTGGAAGGGGAAACTGTGTGGGCTCTATGCTTCCCAAAACATCCATGTTCTTCCTGTTCCTCCCTAAAGCAAAGAAGAAGAAAAGTATCAATAAAACAGGACACAGAGCAAATGCAATCCTCACAGGTGATAAGCACATAACCTTTCCCTAACTCCAGCCTTGAAATAACAGAGCTTGGATAGGCTGCTTGAAATTTATGTAAGTTAGAAGACTTATCTGCACTTCATTCGGTCCAGAAGAAGACATGCAGGGCACTCCTATCATTTCCAGAAGAAGACATGCAGGGCACTCCTATCTATACACATATTGTTATGAGTTTGTGGGTGCCAGACACCCCTAATCCCTAGATCTAATAAGTGTTAGAATTTAATCAATGCTTGGGGTGTTAAGATGGGTGCCAGACCTCTCTAATCCCCAGGTCCAGCAAGGATTAAAATCTAATCAGAGCTAATTAAGCCTGGCTAGCTTCCTGTGTTGAAGTGATCACCTGGGTGATGGACCATTAAGAGGACAAAGAACCAAAGGATTCCTCAACAAATAAAACCAAAGTTTACAGCATAGAGAGGTTAGGAAGAATAATGTGGCAGAGTAGCAGAGCAGCAAGCTAGAAAGCCGGAGAGGCACACCAATGGTTGATCTCTGCCATAGCTGCAGCTATGGGAGAAACAAGGCCCTTTTGAGGTGTTAATGCTGTGAACCCCTCCATCATAGGCTCAGGTTGTATATATGTATAAATAAACCATATACTGTATCATAAAGGCACCGCAGTCTCTGCTGTGCCCCATTTCCAAAAGGAAACACGAACCCTGGGTAAGGACCTGGAACCCCTGGAATCTCATACTGCTCAGAGATTGGAGTAGCATGCAACAATACTTACTCAAGCCCCACTTCATGTAATGGGGCTTTCTGGCACATAAATAGGCATATGATTGCAGCCTTAAGGATGTAAGGATTTGGTCTGTGCCAACACTGCTGCGTGGGATCAGATGGAATGGATCACTTCTATGGCTGCCTGCCTGCCATCCAGATACTACATAGAAATAGATGTCATTTAATGTTATTTCATGTGTTGTGGCTTTCTCAGATAATTTGCTGTAGTGACTAGTATATTGTACATAGAGGAAGGAATTCAGTGTTGTACAGTGGTACCTCAGGTTAAGATCTTAATTCGTTCTGGAGGTCCGTTCTTAACCTGAAACTGTTCTTAACCTGAAGCACTACTTTAGCTAATGGGGCCTCCCGCTGCCGCCGCCCCGCCGCCGTGTGATTTCTGTTCTCATCCTGAAGCAAAGTTCTTAACCTGAGGTACTATTTCTGGGTTAGCGGAGTCTGTAACCTGAAGCGTATGTAACCTGAGGTACCACTGTACTATGCTGAATGTTCCGTCAGTGCAAGCATTTCAGCTTGCTAGATGGAACAGTTCCACCCACCCACCCACCCACCTTCTTCCATGTGCTGTTCTGGGGATTCTCCTGACCGCTACCAGGAGAACTAGAGGAAACCCCATTGTGCAAATGAAAGTCCTTGCACAGGCTTCTGTCAAAGGGATTCATTAGCTGAATCCCACCCAGATATAGGACTTCTAAGTCCAAATTCCTACTCAATGGAAAGAGGGTCTGGAGCAGGTCACGAAGCCAGAGCATAATTTGGCGCATGTGCTAAATTAACAATTGATCCAGTTGCACATCAAAGAATACAATGAATGTTATTTATTTCAGAGGACTGCATTTCCACAAAATGTCACAGAAACAAAAAGAGGGCTTTGTTGCAAAACACTGCTGCGCAACCCTGCCACATGGTCATAACATCAAAATGTGAAACTGTGCATGGTGGCACAGAAGGGAGGCAATTCTCAGGGTGAGTGTGGGCTGCTGTTCATACTTCTTAAGCCACATGGTGAGGAAATGTTCTGTTTAATAAGGTATCTTGAGGAGGGAAGGGAGCTGTAAAAAGAAAACCATGTACTCTGATACCCTCCAATAAAAAGGCATCGTAAAATGCTGGCTCTTCATTAGTATTCATTACATGTCATTATTTTAACTGTGCCACTATTGTATAATCTGATGGAAAAAATGAACAACTCTGCTATTCTGCCCCTCAGTGAGATAGAAACATGTTTACTTAATGCAGGAGAGCCAAAGTTTAATTAGCCTGGAAGGCTTTTTCGTCCTATAGGGCACACCGTATTTTTCGTCCCGTATTTTTCGTCCTATAGGGCGCACCGGGCCATAGGACGCACCTCGTTTTTTGGGGGGGAAATGAATAAAAAAAATTATTTCCCCCCCCCAGCCGCGGCTGCAGCCCCAAGCCTTGCACACACCTGCCCGAAGCACGGGGCGCCCTCCGGAGGGCTCCCGTGCTTCGGGCTGCAGGCTGCCGCCCCAAGCCTCACGCGCCCGGCGGGACCTCCTGCCAGGCGCGCGAGGCTTGCAGACACCCGCCCGAAGCAGGGGGTGCCCTCCGGAGCGCGCCCCCTGCCTCGGGCTGCTGCCCGCAAGCCTTGTGAGCCCGCGGGAACTCCCGCCGGGCTTGCAAGGCTTGCGGATAGCTTCCTGAAGCCTGGAGAGCTAGAGGCATCGGTGCGCACCGACCCCCTCACTCTCCAGGCTTCAGCGAAAGCCTGCATTCGCCCCATAGGACGCACACATATTTCCCCTTCCTTTTTGGAGGGGAAAAAGTGCGTCCTATGGGGCGAAAAATACGGTATTTCAAAACAAGGATGAGGAACATCAGATCTACAGGCCAGATGTGGCCCTCTAGAGATCTCTACCTGGCCTAAGAATTGTACCCATTAAAAACCCCGGAAGTACTGCAGGATATCAGTGTATAAATCTTCTCAAGCAACATCACAGATTCTCTGCAAACTGGCAGGCCTTTTCTATGCTAAAAAAAATGAGATACAGTACATCATTTATGCCATCTGAATGTGAAAATGTGCCTTAAAAATGGAACAGTGGGGGGCAGGGGAGGGAGAGGAATTGTTCAGTTGTGTGTCAGCTACCTAATTGCTATGTTGTCCTCCACTATGGGGGGGGGGTGCCCCCTGGTTCTTTGCCTCCTTTTACAAGTTCCTGTCAACACCAATGGATGAATTAAAGATTAGATAGATTAGATAGATATGCACAGTGTGTGTGTGTGTGTGTGTGTGTGTGTGTGTGTGTAATAAGTTCCGTAATGAGTCAGCTCAAAAGCAAGCAATTTGGCTCCCATCCAATCAATTGTAAGTAGCCAGAGTCTCTTCTCTCTCAGCAGCATATTGCCACAGCAGAATATGCTTTGCTGGATTAGTCTGCAGTCATAGAGGCACTGAGTATCTGCAATGAACCATTCTGATCAGTTTGCTGTCCAACTTCAGGCAAGCTGACACCTGTTTGCTTTTTTAATCTAGCAGGGGTGATTCAAGAAGAAGCAATTGCCCTCCAAAAATATTCCCCACTACCTTTTTTGGTAACTGCACAGATGTGTATATGCACCTGCAAGAAGAGGAAGGTGGGAAAACATACCATAGGGCAGAGGTTGCCAGTGTGGCACCCATGGGGTGCATATGTGCCTGCCGAAGATTTCCCTGATGCCCACAGGGTCCCCATTTCTGGGTTCAAAGTCCCAGTGCAAGGCCCTTTTCCTCTCCAAACGCAAGCATCTAATGTTCTCAGCCCCTCAACCAAAAAGAGTTATAGCCCTGAATTTCATCACCTTAACCTCAACATACAGACCAGTATCTGCACAATACCTTAATGAGAAACATTGGACATCCCAGGCTAATAAATTGCTGCAGTTCTCTCCCTCGCCCTCTCTTCTCCTGGATGAATCCAACTGGTGTCCCATGAACTGCCGGAGTGTGTCTATGTATGAAGCAAGGCTGGCCCAAGACATTTGGCTGCCTGAGGCAAAGGATAAAATGATGCACACCCATTCATAGTGCCTCCTACTTCGGTACTAGCAAAGGGGCACTGCCCTGCCCCTGAGGGAGGTCAGCAGGATCGATATAAATGTGGATGGCAAAGTGTGTGACGCACAGCTCTCTTCTCCAACAGAACAGTTGCATCAGGGAGCTCAGGAGGATATATGCTGCCTGAGACCTTACTTTGCCAATGGCAGAACTGGCTCTGGAAGGAAGCTTGCAGCTTCTATGCCCATGGGACCCTCCCTCTCATCTGTCCAGTCTCCAGGGAAGATTTTGCCTGGGCAAATAAAATTAGTGATGGAGTAAAAAATCCTTGCCAAATCTCCAGTCACACGGACTGCCTCTGTGTATATTTAAACTACAGTAGGCGTTGACGCAGATTTCGTGTCTGATTCAGCAGCCTTGAGGCATCTCACCTGTACTTAATCATGGTTTCCTGAGTCACGAAATCCGTTTCTTTACCCGAATGAAGCAACTGATGACACCAAACTGTGCGCAAACCCCTGCCAGCTGGATACGTTGCTGTTTCCCACCCTGATCTTTTGATCCTGTTAACATTTATTTATTTATTTATTTATTTATTTGCTTGCTTGCTTGCTTGCCTGCCTCTCCAGTCAACATCAGCCTACAAAGCAAACCAATCCATTCTTTCTCAACAAGAGGCTCAACACCTGATTCTGTCAATGAGTCGAATCCGGACTAAGGCTGTGTACACATTATCAGCTCAAAACACAGCCACATCATTCTGTTTCTCAATTCAGATCAAAAGTGCTTTGGGGAAAACACATCAAAACACAGTATTTCCTAAGAAGACCACCTCAGACTACCTCCCTCTGCCCAACCTAGGGTGATCTACCATCAGCTGCCCTGTGGGAAAGATCCTGGTAACTTTTTAACATGTTGTTTATTGTGTTTTTAAAATATGTAGTTAGTTGCAAGCCACTTTGGAAGGATTTGTATCCTGAAAGGCAGGTTATAAATAAATGTAACCAGGGATGGGAATCCTGTGGCCTTCCAGATTTTGTTGGACTCCAACTGCTGTTTAATGCCCTAGATCAAAAAAGCAGCTCGTCCCCTTCCTGGCAAAGTAAGTTATAAAAATACAGAGAAAATGTCCACTTTAGCCTTAGTGGAACAAAACTGCTATCATGTATGCAAGAAGAAAAGGACATGCAATTGTTGTTTCAGCAGACCTATTTGCCACGAGTTTTCATGGGGAATTTTGTCCTAGGACTATCCTAATTCAGAACCACTGACGAAGTATGAAAAATGCTAACCTCTGCTCTGGTAACCAATCATCTCAATAAGAACCAACTGTGGCACTCAACTGTAAATACATGCTATAAAAATGTCTGCTACTAATGGGAAATGGAGGTGTCATCATATGTTGATGTTTCTCTGCAACTTCTGAATCAGGAAAGGCTGTGCAAGCCCTGAACTTAGTGCCTGGACTTGGTGGTGGGTTAGGTGGGGGCCGATAAACTGACTATAAATCCTGGGCAGATGGAGGCAACATGGATGGGCCATTCCTGAGTCTGCTTTCGATTGGGGTTGTACTCCCGCATCTCTGTCGCTTAGAGGCCCAGGTGATCTCAGTGACTAGGAGTGCCTTTTACCAGCTTCAGTTGGGAAGAGAGCTACAGCCATTTCTGGTTTGGGGCAGCCTAATCACGGTCATCCAGTAACCTCCAGGTTGGTTGCTGCAATGTGCTGTATGTGGGGCAGGACTTGGAAGCTGCCACCTCATGCAAAATGTGGGGCAGAATATAGTAAGTCACTGTGGAAATAACTGCACTGGCTGCCAATTAGCTACTGGGCTGGTATTGCTGCATAAAGCCATGTACAGCTTGGGACTAGGTTGCTCAAAAGTTCATCTCACCTTCTGCATAACCAACCAATCACTACATTCTGAAGGAGAGGGCATCCTGCAGATACCATGCTATCAGGAAGTGCATTCTTCACAAGGTCAGAATCAGACTTTGAGAGTGGTGGCACCTTTCCTGTGGAAGGGAACTTTGGTCACATTATATATCAGATCAATGCCTTCTCTACTACTGTCATTTCAGTGCCTGCTAAAAACATTCCTCTTTCCACAAGCTTTCTAAACAGAGCTCTTTATTCCAGTTGCTATCTGTGACGGATATGAATTGTTCTTACATGTGTGCTGTTGTTGTTTTAAAATAGTTTATTTTATTTTATTATATGTGTGTGTGTGTACACACAATTTTATTTTAGTACCCCAGGAAGACGAGGGAATGACTCTGCAAATTGTAGCTCTGTGAGGGAAACAGGGAAACTTCTAACAATGCTGACACTTTAAATCTCTACAGGATTCTGTAGAGGAAGCCATGGCTGTTTTAACTATATAGTGCAGAAGGGACCTTGGTTTTAAGAAGTTACTCCTTATGTTTTAGCCAAAATCTGCTTCCCTGCAATTCCCATCCACTGGGTCTACTCTTGGTTCTGTAGATCTCTTAGTTGCAGCCTAAAAGGACACTCCATTGACTAAAGATGTCAATAAACTGAAAAATAAAATGTTAACCAAAAATCATGGTTCAAAATTTTGGAAAGATAACCACAGTGGCTCTGTCAGGAATATAATTCATGAGCAGGATTCCTGGGAGTGCTAGTTTAATTTGGGATTCAAGTTTCACCGCAATGCTATTTTGTGGGTTTTCATGTCAGAGTCTTATGTGGAATAAGACTCTCCTATGTCATAGGCAGGCTGAGGCGTGTTTCAGTGGAGGAATTTGCTGGCAAGCTTCTGCTGAAATGGAAGGCCTTCCTTCTATGAGTGTGTGTGTGAGGCAGAGCCTACACACAGCACAGGAAAATGTGTGCTCCATGCTCTGTTTACAGAGAAGTGCATTAGTGCTGTCGTTATTTGGAATGAACTTCCTGGCAAGCAGTAATCTAAGCTGTTGATTTGCTCCGAGTGAAACTCAGTTATTTCCTACACTGACAAACGTTTTGTGGCTCCAGGCTCTAATCCCTGGACACTTCCTCATGTCGTGAGCAGCCTCAGTAATCGTATTAGTTTTGTTTGGACTTCATGTCCACATTCATGTCACACACAGAACTAAACTGGGATGCTGGAATACTTGAGATTTAAAGCCGGCGAGTCCCATTAATTCAATACAAAAGCAATCGACTTCAAACACAGCTTTCTGACAGCCACGATCGTACCATGAGTAGAACAGGGATGAGGAACATCTGGTCCTCCATATGTTGTTACACTAAAGCTCCCACCAACCTTTGGAGCAACGTGTTGGGCATGGATCCAGGAGACCTGGGTACCAAGCCCTGCTTAGCCATTAAGTTCACAGGAGCAGTCCCTGTTTCTCAGTTTAACTTCCTCTTATGCTTGTTGTCATGGAAATGAGACAGTACCACACATCATGTGTATGAGTATGAGAAGGTTTGAAGTGAAGGACTACACCTCTCTCTGCGTCTTCCTCTTCCTTTCCATTCCTATGAAG